TCAAGAAACCCACAACAATCTCGACATAGCCCCACCACTGGTTGATCATGGAGCTTTGAATTCGTACAACCCATTGAGCGTTCTTATTAAAAAAAAAAAAAAAAATACTTTATAATCTCTATACCAAAGAAACCCAAGAAGAAGAAAACATGAGCAACCCAGAACTAAGAAAGAAAGAAAATTCAGAGAAAAACAAAAAAAGAAGAAAACATGAGAAGAGGATAGTGTTTGTTTCTCGAGAAAATTGAGGGGGGGAGAAAGAGAAGAAAAGGGGAAAGAGGGAGTACAATACAAGGAGGGAATCTTGCCAGATCCAGGAGTGTCGTCATGTTGTGTAAGTGTTGTGTTGTGTAGTCACTACAACAAAAATGACTTATGGTAACACTGGACAGTAGCACTTTTCCTTAAAGTGTTACTGTAGACTATCTATGGTAACATTTGATGTTAAAATATTACGATAACAATTTTTATATGTAACACTTTAACTTTTTGTAACACATTTTATATCAATGGTAACTCTTTTTTGTAAAATGTTATTAATATATGAACTACAATTACATTTTTAAAGTGTTACAATAGACCTAATAATACAGTAGATTTTTTATAATGTTACCATATAATCAAAATACAATAACATTTTATAAGTGTTACCATAAACCCAATAATTTGTCAGGAAACAAAATGTTATTCCCGCCAACATGAAATGAGGTTGATTTTGTCTCATTTTTATTGGTTAGGGGTCAAATTCATATTATTTGGGTTTATTTTGTTACTTTTCATTCATGTAGGGACCAAACTAGAATATTTTATTTAACCGGAAAGATAACACCTAATACCCACCAACCCAAAATTTCCTAATACCCCCATTCACTTATTTTCAACTCTTCCAGCCTACTCTCTCAAACAAAAAACCCTAATGGCTTTACTTGATCATCTTTATTCAAAAAATCTATTGAAAATCGTTGGCTTCATCCAATCTTTAGCTTAAAATCTCCAATACCCATAACCCATTGAACCTGAAATTGAAGCCCCCAGCCTTTGAGAGGTAAATCAGTGAAGCACTCTTCCAAATCCATCAAGATCAATGGATTTTTTATTCACTTTGTTTTATGTTTTGCTTTTTCGTTGGTTTTCGACCTTCACCGTTATGGTTATCACTTTTGCAGGGAAGTTTATGCGATATCAATTGTTGGGCCTTTCCCAATTGTTGTTACCAATTTGTTGGAGTTAACAAGATTGTAAGTTTTCCTATTCCATTTGGATTTGTTTAAATTTTTTCTTATGAATGAGCTCTGGAGTGTATCGCGTTTAATTTATGTGTCTTTGAGGTGTGTTCACAATGTGGCTGTGAAATGTTTGAATGAGTTGATGAGAAATGTATGTATTAGTTGTTTGTTTAGTTTGATGGGTGGTGATGGGAGTTTGGTTAATATTTTTTGATATTTTTTGAAACATAGTGATATTTTCAGTATATTTTTGTTTGTTGAATTTTGTCAATTGGGTTTTGATTAATTTTGTAGTAGATGTTAAGAGAATTTTGTTTGGTTTGATGGGTAAATTTAAGACTTTGGTAAATGTATTTGGAACATAGTGAGTGTTCTAAGTTTTTGTTGTTTGTGGCATTTTATTGAATGGGTTGCATTAAATTTTATAATTGGTATTGAGAAATGTTTGTATTGTGTGTTTGGTTTGATGAGTAATGATGAGATTGGTGAATGTTTTTCAATAGGTGGCTGACATCAAAAGGCTGAATGGGTCGGCTACAGATCTTCTAATGTTTGCTCTATTTTGTTGAAGTATTAGATGTTAGATGTGTGCCTTTGCCTAGGATGATTTAAGTATTAAGCATTTTTCCTTGTATGCTTTGAGAATTTTTAAGTACTTAAATAGTATTAGTTGTGCAAGGAACTCAACAGTAATTGTTGTCAAAAATGTTTTTGCCATCCTTTGAGTTTTTTCTGGCTAAATGCTTGTAAATTTTAGCAGTTCCTTTTTCACTTCTATCTTCCTATCCTAGCTTCCTATTTGGATGTGTGCTTTATGTCTGTAAATTATTTATTGGGTTTATTGGTTTCTGATCATGTAAGATTTTATGCATTTACTAGTCAAGAAGATAATTCGATGTCTAAAAAAATTGTAAACTGTAGTTTGCAAACAATACTGCTCTATTTTGCTGAAGTATTAGATGTTGGATGCGTGCCTTTGCCTGGGATGATTTAAGTATTAAACATTTTTCCTTGTATGTTCTGAGAATTTTTAAGTCATGAAGTAGTATTAGTTGTGCAAGGAACTCAACAGTAATTGTTGTCAAAAATGGTTTTGTCATCTTTTGAGTTTTTTCTGGCTACATGCTTGTGAATTTTAGCAGTTCCTCTTTGACTCTTGTCTTCCTATTCTAGCTTCCTATTTGGATGTGTGCTTTATATTCTGTAAATTCTTTATTGGGTTCATTGGTTTCTGATCATGTAAGATTTTATGCATTCACTAGTAAAGGAGATAATTCTATGTCTCAAAAAATTGCAGATTGTAGTTTGCAAAAAACAAAGTCTCAAACAGTTTTCATTTGCATATTTGAAAATGAATTTATTGTATTTTTCAAATTGTAATAGTATTTCCGTTTGTGCAAATCGAAATTTGTCCCATATCAAAAGGGAATTAAAGATTATTGCAACAAGAAGGATTAGAGTTAATAAGCTACAACCGTTAAGTATTCGAAGAGTAAGCATTATTGTGTTATTCAAACCTAATAACATCAAGAGTATTAGTGAATGGAAAAAATTTGTGGAAGAAAAATTAGGGTCAAAGTTTAAGGTAATTATAACACTACACACATATTGTCATTATATTATATATGCATATGCGTATTGTTGATGTAGCTGCATATGGTCATTTTAGGGTAAAAGTGAAGAAATGAAAAATAGGAGGACAAAACAATCTCCCTACACAGGTGGTCGAAGGGGTTATGCTCGCATGACTGATGATATAGTAATGTCTCATTCTTTGTTATGTGATTCTAGTTTTAAATTGATAAAGAGTATAAACATTTATCATTATTTCCATTTTTAATAGAAAAAGACAATTGGGAAGTGGGTCATGTCCTAAGTTGAGGTTTGGATTGAAGCTCACAATAAAAAGAATGGTGAGCCAATCAACACTAAGACTACAGAAGCAATTGTAAGTAATTTGTTATACCTCTTTCTCACTCTCTCGCTCTCTTACTATATATATAGTAATTTGTTATATATATAGTATTATATAATTAAAAAAACCCTGATGTTATGTTATTTGCATTTATAGGAAAAGTTACAACAAATGGGTAATGATTCAAGTTTGCCAACTCCTAGAAACTTGAGAGAAGATGCTATAACAAAGATATTGGGTCTTGACAAAGGTGGACATGTGAAGGGACTTGGAAAAGGTGTAAGTCTTACACAATTGTCCATAATAGCTCAAAGGGACAACCTAATAGCTCAAATGGCACTACAAAGGTGGACATGAGAAGTGAATAGTGTTTTGTGTATTTTTGTTGTGCAAATCAATGTATATAAAAGGAAGCTAAATCTCATATCTAAGGTAATCCTCAACCACCATCACCACCACAGATAAAAAAACAAAGAAAACCCTCCTCCATGGACACAAAGGATAAGAAGAGAACAGAGGAACCTATTTCACAAACCAACAATCACAATCACCTGTTTAAAAAATTAAAAAAAATATATATATAAATATATATATATATATATGGGAAAAATGAGTGACTCATGGGTCCACCCGTACCCACGGGGCCGGGTATGGGTGTTACATTTTCTTACCCATTTGTATTTTTTACCCATACCCGTATTTACCCAGCCCGTACCCGCCCAACTTGCCTGTTTGGTAGGTCTATTGATCAGTCAGGGCTGTAATCGAGCCGAGTCGAGCTGATTTTTGGGCTGATCGAGCTCGGCTTGATTACTAAAGGATCGAGCTTGAGTTTGAGCTTGAACCTATCGAGCCTTTGAAATGTTGTTTGAGCTCGAGCTCGTTTTGTGTGGGTGATACTCGAGCTAGCTCGGTCAAAGCTCATTTGACCATCTCCAATTCCAGACCTGCATTATTATTTTTGCCCATCTTCCCATTTTATTACACAATTTGGCAAACACAACGACTGTAAATGACTACATACTCAAGAAATAGTTACTATTGTGAATCATTCTTATATTTAGCATGCTAGTTTTGTAGGACATATTAAATTAAGTGAACTAAATTTCTTAGTTTAATTCACTTGACTTAATTAATGTTTGAGCAAAATAAAATGTGATTTTGAGGCTGTAACTAATAACTATACATGTTAGCAGTAACTATACATCAAATTACAGCCCAAAACATCAAAATTTTGAGGCTGTAACTAATAACTATACATGTTAGCAGTAACTATACATCAAATTACAGCCCAAAACATCAAAATATAGCTGGCTGTAGATGGGTTGTCTTCTAACAAAACCACCATTTTCCCACTTCTGTAAACAAATTCAATTTAGTAAGTTTCTCTTTACATAAAGATTCTAATTAATTGGGAGAAAATCTATATAACCTTAACTATGTTTTATTTTCAAATCTGATTAAGAAGAAGATACAATCCAAGCATTGAACAAGATAAAGATGTTGTCTTAATCTGAGTTATTATCTTATCAATGAATCATTAACATCCATATGGCTATAAAACTAAAAGTAAAATCAGATGAATAAGAGATCCTGCATGCTTCCATGTGGTTTATGTAACTCTCACATTTTAATCTATGCATAATCATTAAACCTAACGGAGAAAAATCAAACACCACTTAAAACCAAACAAAAACGAATCAGGATGGACCTGCGCATGCCTATTGCCACAGCCAAACAATGTACTAAATCCCAGGAACTTACGGGATAGGAAGCTTAACCTCCAACAGTTGCTACTCTGCCTAAAATGTATGTTAGAATAAAGTTATTGTAATTATTGAATTGAACCAGAACTACATTCAATAGAACCTACTTTGTAGCATTTCCACCGTGTCGAGAGACAACAAAGATCGATAAGTATCAACTACCCTACTTCTGGCACTGAAAGCAGACTCAGAAGCAACTGTAGTGATAAGGATGGCCAATATCTCATGAGCCATCGTAGACAAAATAGGGTACTTCGTTGAATTTGCCTTCCACCACTGTAAAGCATCAAACGCATCAAGATCCTCCACACACTTATGGCATCCCTTTCCCAAATAAAAATCTAACTCATATTTACTAGGCTCAAAAGTCTCAACCACATCCATAAAATTTGTAAAATCATCCAAACCCTCTGCCCTGTCTACCGTTGCCCCCTCACCAACAACCTGAAGTCCATCCCCTACTGATGTAGAAGCGCGGGCAACAGTTGATGCTTTACTAGAATTAACATACTCCCCATAAACTTCATACAATGCATCCCAAACAATTACAGTATTTGCCCATGCTTCATGGTGAGGATACATCTTAGGGAATGACCACTGAATCACCTTCATTTTCAACCTAGGATCCAATACAGCAGCCACAACCATCAACAGATTACATTCTCCCCGATATTTATTAAACTTCTCTTTCATTTTCCTAACTATGTTTCTAATAAAATCATCTTCATCTTCACTCTTTTTATCCAACATAATTTTGATTAGACAGACCTGCTTTAGAAACAAATTAGTTGTCAGATAATCACTTCCTGAAATGAGATTGGTCGTACCATTGAAAACTTTTAAAATATCACAAACTTTCTCTACGTTCTCCCAATCATCCTCTTCGAGACAATAATGATAACTTGAATCTCTTTCTTTCAATCTTGGAAAAACAAGTTTGAATGCCAACATTTCATACGTTGAATTCCATCGTGTTTTACAATGAAGAATAAGCTTTTGAAACGGTAATCGCAGTTGTTGAACAATCTCTGAAAAAACCTTAAGCCTACTCTTGAGGCATTGATAAATGACATGCTATCATGGATGTCATCAATGATATGCCTAATTTGATAAAGACCATCTTGAACAACCACACTCAAGATGTGTGCATAACATCTTACATGAAACAATTTCCCCGCATAAATGAGCTCCCTTGTAACTTGGAAATTTTCCCTGACGACTCTAATTGCAACATCATTGCTTGTAGCATTGTCCATTGAGATTGTGTGGACCTTATTTTCAATTCCCCAATCCATCAAGCACTTGTAAATGGCATCAGAAATGGCGACACCGCCAAGGGGAGCAGGAAAATGAACAAAGTTAAGGACTCGTCTGTTCAGCCTCCAATTATCGTCTAACTAATGCCCAGTCAACCCCATATGCTCCATCTTCTAATTGTTTGAATTCCATAGATCTTTGGTCAAATTGATCTTCCTTACACTCTTCAACTTCTGCTTCTCACTTTCGTATACCTTTACACAATCATTTTTACAGGTATCGCGCGAAATCGGACTCTATTCAGGAATCTCATGCTTCACATGTTGTTCAATCCCTCTTCCTCCACAATCGTAAATGGATGCTCATGCAAAAGCACTCAATGGGTAATAAATTCTCTCATCTTCATCATATCAAACTTGCCTCTTAGAGTAGGCAGGATAGTAGATGCAGCCTCAAAACTGGCAGTGGGAAAATTAATTTATTGTTGCCTCATGGAAGCTATTCTCCTCGCACACTGTTTCAAATGTCTAGTAAATTAGGTAGTGCTTCTAGTAGCATTAATTTTCAATCTGACCTTACAGTGGATACACTCTACCTTCTTTGTACCATTAGGAAGAACCACCTCTTTAAATTCTGTCTAGACCACTAATGTCTTGGCTTTCTTTCTCCTGTGAAGTGGATTATCATTCTCCTCTACATTATTTGGGCTACTAACACTGTGCTCCGTATTTAATGTGGTCTCATTCAAGTTATGACGATCAACCGCTCTCATTGTAATTGTATCTTCCAATGTCGGGGTGCTTGATGAACTGCCTTCCATTTCCATACCTATAATTGAAAAATGAAAATTATTGTTAATATACTTGAAAAAAAATATAGTCAAAAATTAAAAAACAAAACATAGATCCTATAAAAGACTGAAATTTCGCCAATTAAAAAAACACATTGTATACTTCGAAATAATTTCATATTGATTCGATTATAGAAAATTAAATTAAGGAAACAACATTGTTGAATTTTCAAGTGAAATTCAATCCTATGGAAGACTAAAATTTCGCAAATCTCATCAGAAATTAAGAAAATCTTACATTCATGTTGAATTCGTAGTTGGTTACAATAGAGAAACAAGTAAAATATTCTTTTTCTTTGAAACTTCAGGGTTGGCCGTCAGTTTTCCCTAAAAACAAACAGAGCACTCTCCTCTTTTGATCACATAGTTCTCAACTCAAATTCTAGACAACCTAATTTTGTTTGTAAAAGAAGACTATTTATCTTTGTCAAATCTTGTATCAGCATGCGAAGCTCCAAATATATTAAGTCAATATCATGAAAATAAGGGGGCGTTTGTCTAAGCTTATAAGTTGGTCAAACTAGTTTATAAACTCTAAAATTAAGCTAACCTGTTTGTTTATAACTTTTTTTACTATATCAAAATATATTATATTAATATATATTATATATATATATATATTATTTATTTTTTTTTTGCTTATAAGCTATTTTGACTATATATTACTACATTATCCTTGTTTAATTTTAAAATTCCATATATATCATTGTTTATGTAGTACCCTTTTTAGTCATTTTATAATAAAATGTACTTATAAGCCAAATTTTACCAAACCGTCACTACTTATTAGTCACTTATAAGTACTTTAACCAACACATATTGCTTAAATTTTCAAATGCTTATAAGCTAATTTTCATAAGCTCAGACAAACACCTCCTAAGTAACCCTTAAACTAATCCAGAAGATTCATTCCTTTTGTCCTATCGTTGAACTACTTATTCAGTGATCATATACAAGCTTAGCTTACCAATTCTAGAGATAACAAAAGTACTTTTACAATTTTTTTGTCGGCGGCAAACAATTAAAACAAATTTCACAGCAGTAGAGCTAACAATGTTTCCCAATCATTTCAAAACATTGAGTGAAATTGAAGATCCATTATATTGCAAAATTTCCAAGAAATTTATGTCTACTGATAATACTTGTAAACTTTCCAAGAAATTCAGAACTATTGGCATTTCATAATCTTTGAAATCCATACTTATATCTATCGATAAATTACTTTTCTGTTTAACATTCATAATCTGATAGACTCTCATAATCATTCAAATTATTTTCCAAACTACTCAGACAAAAACTTCAACACCATATATGCTTTCTCTACCACATTTAACAACACATCAACACTGTTCAAATTACTAAAAAAAATTAGGGCTGATAGTGATACCTTTGTAGAACTCGTGGACTAAAGCACTCGAAATCAAAGTGGTTTCACGATTAATCGAAATCAAAGTGGACTGAAGGCTGAAGCACTCGTGAACTTTGTCAATCGATCGTCATCGACGTCTCCAACAGCAAGAAGAATGGAAAAATGTGGCAAGATGATTTTAGGGATTTCAAGGTTTACAGTTCAAAGCGCATTTTCAATTTGGGGGTTTTATTTTCGTGTTTTACTATTAATTACATTGGGTGGCTAAATGTCGTTTTTACAAAATTTTAAGATTGAAGATAACATTTCAGTTCCCACCAGTATCTAAAACTCACTAAAGTAACCCAGCATATGCGAGCCAACTCAGGCTGGTGAGCCTATCGAGCCGAGCCTCACCCTAATTGAACTCGACTCGGTGTATACAGCGAGCTTGAGCCGAGTTGACTTGGCTAAGTTCGAGCCAAGTTGACTCGACTAATATCGAGCCGAGTCTTAAATGAGCTTCAGATGAGCCGGCTTGCGAGCTGCTCGGTTTGTCTGACAGCCCTATGCTGACTGTTGAGCAACGGTCAAATTTTTTTATTTTAATTTTTTTTGCAAAATTATTTTTAACCCCTAAATTTATTATGTATTTTATATTATAGGGGGTTTTGGATATTTGTCAGGGGGTTTTCATAATTGGGTGAGGGGGGTTTTTGAAATTAATAGGGCCTGACTGGGCTCGATCCTCCTCCTTTGGGCTTGGTCCGATTAGGGACGGGTCCTATGGGTACCCATTTTTGGGAGGGCCCAGGCTTTTGGCCCAGCTCTAGCCTAAAGCATGTGAGATTGAAGCAGAAAAATGATAAAAGTAAAAGACAGGCAAACCTATTCGATTTCCATTGTTCAATTGTCTTGTCATTTCAGTTGTTCTTAATTAACATCACCATAATATTATATTTTATTATCAATCAAGCTTCATTATGCCAGAAAACTTCAGCCGTCCCATTGCCAAATTTACATTTTTATTGGGTTTAGATTATGTATTTGGTTCAACTAAAGCCGACTGATACGTGATGCGGCCCATTATACTTTTATATCAACTTTAATGCATTACAAATCAAACCCTCCTCCTGATTCAAACTCTAACACAAATAACCTCAATTGATGATTTTTTTTTTTTTTTTTTTTGGTGAAATCAATTGATGATTTAATACATAGGTTTATTGTTTTTTAATAAGAAAAGGTTTCCATTTTTTATGTCTTGTATGGACCTTAAAGCTAGAATAATTGTACTGAAAGGATAAAATAATGCGAAGAATATTTCATTACCTTGATTTGACTTTTACCCTTAAGCCATTTAGAAAGCTACCTATTTGATGCTTTCAATTAACTCTATTATATGTTACACTAACATAAATAAATAAATAAAATTATTTGAATATCACATATACAATAAAAATATGAAAGTTTTAATTCAATAACAGAAATTGTTTTAAAAAATATACATTGCTCATTTCTCGAAACAGAAGACTTGTCCTTCCCTGCCACTATTGAAACAGTGTTAGACACTTGCGAGATGAGGGGCAACGTTGTAATGGTGGATTTTTACCACGTGGCAGTTTTCCACAATAGGCGACAAGAAATTCAGTTACATTCATTGTATAAATACACATATACTATATAGTTGTGTAATTCGGGGCTAATATCGACGCGTTGTGTTGATGCTTGATTTTAACACTAACGACTCGTACATGTAAAATATTAAGTAGCTCTTAAAAATTACCCGTTAATAAATATGATAATCTAATTTAAAGATTGAATAATAAATTAAAGATGATTTTTAAAGTGGTTCAGATGCTTAAAGCAAATCCTACATCTACTACTATTTTATATATGAGAGATTACATGAGATTGCATATAGCGAACAGTTGACAGAAATACAATAACTGAATATTCAGATTGAATATTAAGTTAGTTTCTTTCTCTCAGGTTATCTTTGCTCTAAAAATAAAAATTACAATTAGAATAAGAATTTTTGTATCAGAATCCCAAAAATGAAAGGGGGAGTCATCTATTTATAGTACAAGAATTCAAGGTAATGATTACAAATCTACAAGTGGGTAGATGTTGTGCAAGTCCTTCCTTACGTCCCATTGACCCATAACTTGGAAAATATCCTCAAATTACCTAGGGTTTGGACAAGTGTGTGGCCCTTATTCACTCATAGGTAAAACTTGAATATGCCAAGTTGGTGACAACCATACTCTTTCTGTCATAAAGCAACGTGGCAGCTCCTAGACGGTGCAAAACCTTTTCGAACTCTGATTGGTGCTTACTGACGTAAGCTTACATCAACCCTGACTTTTTAGGCATAACAAATTACATCGAAAGTTAAGTCTTTAATTAACATAATTATGTAATCCAATTGTCATAAATTACTTTCTACCTTGATAGTTCTGTTATTGTATTGCATTTCCACCGTCGTCACAAAATTAAATGACTATTTTTTGTGATATATATAAATTATGCCATAATTGATTTGACAATAGTACAATACCACATAAATAAGGGTAAACAACTTTTTTTTTTTTTTCCCACCCAAATAATGGTTTAATAACACTTTTCCATCCATAAACTTTTAAAATATTATTTTACTATCCAAAATTTATATTTCGTTTTCAATTCTGACATCGTTGCGACCTCACACTACTACCATTTTATTCCCCGATCATAACTCACAAAAACCCTTTAAATCCTACTCCTACCGATCCTGTCAATTGCCGATAATCTAACAATTA